AAAAAATGGTGATACTGAGCGTCACTTGCTAGAACGTACAAAATAAATGAGTCTAGTGTTTGAGAAATACGTAAAAATGAAGAAACAATACGATAGATAATAAATAAATTAGTTGTAGGAATTAAAAAAAATTAAACCTAACCTCCTTTTTTACATTGATTTATGGTCTTGTTATCCTCGCAGGTTTGTTGAAACGTAACCTTCGCGGATAACGAGGGATTACTGTACTTATTATTAATAATATATATTAATTTATTTATTTCAGTTTTCTATCAGGAAAAATATAATTTTGAAATTCAGTATATTATGAAATTTTAGTATTTGACACTCGCACATTATTTATCATTATAACCTGAACGTAAATTTGGTAAAAAACTACACTTAGCTTTAGTCATATAAAACGGTTTTGTTCCGATGGCTTTACTCGTGGTAATGAAAGATGGTAAGAAAAAAAAACTTGTTATACAAATTATTTTACTATTTATAATCAAACCAAAACATTTTAGAGTTTATAATATACATTTTTGCTCTTATAAGTATAAAGAATTCAAGAATTTAGATTATGTAAAAAATATTAATTAGTGCTTATAGTTCATGATTTCTTGATTCGTTATTATATTGTACTTGCCAGCATTTTGTAAGTAGGTAGTATAACTATAAACCTATATTTAGTAGGGTCAATACAACTAAATATATATATGTATTTGACCAATTTAAAATAAAAATCATTTGAAATGATGTAAAATATACTTGGAATATAAAATTTTTTAAATAAATTTATATAAATTCGACAATAATATAATTGTTTTGACAATATTACTTTTTGCGTATTTTATCCTTAAATTTTTCTCTATTATATTTTTTATTTATTTTAATTGAATTTGATATTAAAAAAAGGATTACTGAGTCTTACCCAATGGAAACTCGTGTGAAGACTCAGATGTTATTTTGATTACAATTGTTGTTAAAATATATTGGTACAACTTCAAAAACATAAATTAAACAAAATGTTTGAAAACATGGGAAAATAAAGAAAAAATACTATGTAGGTATTATATAATAACATAGCATTAATTAATAATAATGACATGCAGAGGCGGAATGACCCGCCGGAAAATTGGGACAATGCCCGATGGCCTGACTTGTTTGTAATGAAGTGGCCTAGTGTGTTGAAAATAATTTTTATTTTCTTATTTTTATTTGAACATACTTTATGGTATTATTGAGCAAATATGCCAAATTCTTGGTACGCTAAAAATTAAGTATTAAACATTTTATTCGAAGCTAAAGCTTGAATTTATTAATTTTTTTTTTATATAGAATAAATTTATTCAAATTTATATATTAATTTGTATATTTTTTATTTTGACTGATACTCGTTTTCACTAAATCAATTTTTATATGCTTAAAAAGTACATGAATTATTTTTCATTAACATGAAAAATACATTAAAAACATTTTTTTTTTTTTAATAAAAACATTATAACACAGTTATTAATAACTATTATTATACATTATTATTATTAAGGATTAACGTTATAATATGAGTCGATATCTTACAATTTACCAAAAAAAAAAAAGTATATTTGATTATATTCATTCATTTTTCATAATTGTATTTTTTTTTTTTAAAGAAGTCGTACATGCAATTTTAAATAAAATTTATTATAATGATTTTTTTATGCTGAAGTTTTATAACTCTCTGTTAGGTACTTGTCAATAATTATATTTCCGTATTCCGTTTTAAGATTTTATTTTTTTTATTTTTTTTGGCGGCTTCTAACGTTTTGATAATTTGGATTATTATCAATGCTGGTGCTATTTAATTTAACGTATACATCCGTCTGAACTTATATAACTAAAACCGTAAGTTATTTCATTAGAGGAGGATTTTCTTTATAAAAGTTTTGGTTGAAATTTGAATAGAACGACTCACAAGCATTGGCGGTTTGTTATTGGCTTGACAATGGAGCAGCCCAAACTGTTGGTGGATATAAACAATTGTCATCGATATAATTATATAAAAGACATTTTGAAATTTTTTTAACTCTTTCGTCAGTTGGTAGATCAGCCATAAAATCTTCAAAAAAAACATTCAGATATTTCAACCGACTTCAGATACAAGTATATTAAAAGTCTGACGTAACCAAATGCCTATTTTAGATAATTTATTTTGGCATTCGATCGATAATACGAAGTTTTGAATTTGATGATAACTGGGTTAAATGAAATGGGCAAGCAGTTATATCTATTGGTAGCCAAATTGCATGTACAGAATTTAAATTTACTTATTCAAAATTGATGCTTACAATTTTGGGTAATAAACATAGACCGATCGATGAATATTTATCAACAATGATATTAAATGTATGTTTTTCGTAATTTGTATAGGTTTATGATTTATAAATATATAGATATACTAGCTGAGCCGACAAACGTTGTTTTGTCATATAAATTATTTCTAGAGAATATTTTGCTAGAAAAAAATAACTAATTTAATATAGGCGTGTAGGGATGTGATATGTAAGTGGAAGAGATACGGAGTACTGTAAACGGTGACGAAATATAAAAATGAAAGAATATCAAACATTTATTTTTTTAATAATTTATTAAAATCGGTCCATTAAAATTATATATATCGCTAGTTATGACAATATGAGTAAAAAATAATATCAATCCCTTAATGCAACAGGGTGTACAATATTCTTGATCATCCCATCTTTCGCCAACACAAACAAACTGGATGGTTCGTATAATTTTCCGTATGAAAAACATAATGTGCTCAAATCAAAGACACAGACAGACATCGTTTGGCCTAAGATATAGCATTATATTATGCTATATAGAAATGATAATATTTCACCTTTTCGGTACTCTCGGTTTTTTGGTTCAAATACTTGATGTAATAGTCAAACAATTTTTATGGTTGATACTATTTTAGAAAAGAAGCTAGTTAAAATATAAAATGCTTGCGAAAATATTTTGGTCATAGATTCTTCCAATATGTAGACCAAACAAATTATTTTATAATTCTTTCAATCGAAAAACGGGCAGCAACTATTTATTAATAAGACTGTAAAAGGTAAGCGAGTACATTTTAAAAAGTGACTTGAAAATACTTGTTTGTCCGGCATGAAATATTGCCCTTTATAGCATGTAAGTTTCAATATTGAACATGTTACATAGTTTTAATTTTAATTAGTTCATATACATAGAAGTCTGCTGGGTAATGCATTTTTTGAACATTTATAATGGAACTGTAATCAACAAGTGTTATTTTGTTTTTAAATTTTTCGGCGAGGTTTAATCGACTAATTTATAGCAACATCATAAACAGCGCGTGTAATATCGGTCCCGCAAGAAAGCGCGAACCAGATAAGCCGCCTGTAAATCTTTGAACGACACATGCGGTCGTTTTACATGTTTAGTGTTACGTTTTAGAAAAAACGACTTTCAAAAGCATCGTACAATAATGTAAATTAATTGCCCGTGACGTACCTAACCTACGGTTATCCCCCTTAGGAGACGTAGCACCAACATTGTTTTTCATCCGCAGCGTTTTTGTTCGCAGCAAAAGCAACGGGACGCGGCCACGGCGTACGTTGGCGACGAGGACAATGTCGACCCGACAGCCGATCAGCCGTCCTACAAGCTTTCACCCGTTCAACAGGAACACATACTGGACGACATCCGCCGGCACAACCAACCGGAGCAGTGGTGGACCGCACCCGGTCCGACGGGCACGGTTGCGCCGTCGCCGACCGCGAACACGGAAGCGATATTTCGCGGTGGTGACGTTGGTGACGACGACAAAGACGAACGCGACCAAGACCGGAGTCCGGTGAACGATCAACTGCAGCAGTTGTTGCAGATCAACGACGTGGCCACCGCGGACGACGGCGTTACCACCGTGGTCAACCTAGACGACGACCGCCACGGTAAGCAGAGGTCCGTCGGTAACGGCGGGATTGGTGGTGGTGGTGGTGGTGGCTGGCACCCGCAGCCGTCGCCGTCTTACAGCCGACCGCAGCAGCACCCTTCGTTATCGCCGTACGTCCCACCACCGCCGGCCGTGAAACAACACCAACAGCAGCACTATCCGACGATTTTGCCGGGTTCCACCGTTCCCCCGCAACTCCACCAACATCACCAACTCAACAACCAGCAGCAGCAAGTTTTCGTCACGACCTCGTCGTCGCAGTCGTCGCAGTCATCACAGTCGTCGCAGTCGCCGCAGTCGTCGTCTGACGTACCGGTCACGTCGAACGGTCATGGCCATCACAACCAACAGTACGCGCAACAGGCGCAGTACTATCCGAAACAGCAGCAGCGGCCGGCCGTGGTCGCCGCGTCCAGTGTCGGCGGCTTGGACGGCGAACTGGACCCGGACATCGAGCAACAGATCCGCCAGCAGTTGTCGGCCGTGGTAGGCGCAGGCGACGGCAATTACACGATACTAACTGGTGGCGGTAGCTTGGGCTCTCGCATTACCGGAGCAGCGTCCAACGATCACGTGCAGTACATGAAGATCGGTGGCGGCGGCGGCGGCTCACTACCATCGTCGGCCATCCGAAACCGCGGCCAGCAACAGCCGGCCGAGAGTAGCGCCGCCGCAGCCGCCGCCTCAGGGCCGATCACCCCGAACAGGAACACGATCGTCAAAACCGTCGTGGTGCACCAAAAAGCGTCGCCGAAACCAGTCGTAGCGCCATCGGCTGCCGTGCCGCCCGCCACGGTCGGCAAGGTGACTCCGGCGCAGACATGGTCGGTCAGCGAACAACAGCAGCTGGAACAGCTGGCGCGTCAGGTGCTGCCACCCGGTGTGGCGCAGTACGAGATCATCCGAGCCGGCGGCATCGACGACGACGTGAAGGGCAGCGTGGTCGGTGACCCGGTGGCCGCGGCCACGATCGGCAGGCCTGGAGACGCGCTCACAGTTGGCGGTGTGCCGCAGCAGCAACAGCCAGTGCTCGGCAAAAAGAAACCCGTCACGTTCGTCATACTGGAGGAGCGGCCGGATGGCACTGTCCGCGTGCGCGGCGTCGAGAAAAAGCAGCAAGTTGTGGGTGGAGGCATCGTTGACGGCGGAAGTGGCGGTGGGGAGGCTACGGATCAGTCGGGCCCGGTGGCCGCGGACGACGAACACCTCCAGCAGCTAGTCGACCGGTTGAACAGGGGTGAACTTCGGTTGCCCGGAGCGGGTTATCCGTCGGTGTCCAAGACCAGCGGGGCGGACAGCGCGACGTTGGCCAGCACCACAGCCGCGACCACGCTTCCGGCTTACGTGCCAACGTTCGCCTCGACACCTTCGCCGCCGCCGCACAAGTCCAACGGTGGTTACGGCATCACCAAACACCGCGATTCGTCGTCGTCGTCCGCGTACTTCAGTACGCCCAAGGTTACTTCGTCCACGACCACCACGGCCACCACTCAACAGCAAAAACTGTACCAAAACATTTTCCTACCCACCGTGGTGCCCACAGCCGCGGTAAGCGTCACCACCGCGCCTGAACAGAAGGACCGGTACCATCACCAACATCACCAGCAACAGCAACAGCAGTATTACACGGCACCGGTGATCACCACGTCCGCGTCATCGTCGACTCCGCGGCCGGTGAACTCAACGCTATCCTACCACACCAATATCAACCACGACAACATTCACAACAACAATCACAGGGGCGTGAAAGATGGCGTGTTCAGTGGCGCCCTACGCCGTCGCGGCTACTATGCGATGGCCAAGTACATGCGGCAGGCCGGAGTGGACTCAGTGCTCGAAGAAACTGGTATTATAGCGAAACATTATCTTGTAATAAGTGTTCGTCCCATCACCTCGGTCACGTAAGCCATGGGCCGCGAAATATAATGTGATTTTTCGTCCGTAAACATTTCACAAACATTGTATTACGACCGGCGATCGCCGATTTTGGAATTTGACCATTACAATGTCTGTCGATACGTCTAAAGTAAAACTAAAACTCAAACTAATCAGGTGTATTGGGAAGTTACAAAAAACTGGTTTTCTGAAAATCTGAAACTAAAACCATTGTCAGTTCCTTGTCAGTCGATATTCTACAAATAAGACGTGACGTGCCCTCAAAAATATTCTTCTCTTTAAATTTCACGGAAAGGATTTTGATTTTGAATCCAACATAAACGCGGCAATTGATGTTGTATGTAATGCCCTATAATTCTAACCATACCAATAGCGAGCTGATATCCTCTTGATGTAAATATTTATTTCAATCTCAAACCCGAAGAATATTATGTTATTTCGATTAGAAAATTATAGTTTTTACAATGACAGCAGATAACTTCATCAGTGCAACAGTGTTATTAATAATATCCGGACGGGTTCCGAACATACGTTAGATCGCAGGATAGGTTTCACTTATCAGATGCATGTGAAAGTGTTATTGTTCTTGGTTTGCGCGAAAAATTTATGGTTAATACACAATAACGCTCATTTGTTTTTCACACGCAGACATACCACCTTAAGTACGTTGTCGGAAATAGCCTATGTGATTCTCCTTAAAATTCGTCATGCTTCAGTGCCATGATTTTTATTTTAGTTATTTATCTTTCGATTTAGATAATTTTATTTTTATCTTTACATATCTGGGGAAAAAAGTCATTGCTCTACATTTACATTGTTTCGGGTATAACCACGAAAAAATGTAAAATATATTAAGATCACACACCGACTGATAGATATTTTCAACTTGGATACAATCACTTTAACGCTGTTTAAATATCTATTTTTTTTTTTTTTTATGTCAAACAGGTCCTTTTACCATATTCGTGCCCACAGACAAGGCGTTTCGTGCTTTACTTGTACAGCTAGGTGGTCCAGATCGTGCTGAGGACAAGTTTCGCGAGAACCCACGTTTACTGATCGGGGTAAATATGTCTATAACTAATCAAAAAAAATTGTTGCGTTGTCAAAAATTTACATTGAATAAGTGTAAATTGCTGCTTTGAAAACCAAAGATACATTATCTGGATAGATAATATTTACAAATTAGAATGAAGAGGAACATGAAAGGAATATATGATATAAAATGTAATTTTCATATTGAAAACAAAAAAAACTTTTAGTTTAATGGATAAGAAAATAAGTGTCAATAGTATTAGATATATTGGAAGGTGAATTTCGATTTTGAATATAATAATAATAATGATAATAAGATTTTTATCGAGCAGTTATCAATAAATAACATTTACATATTAATATTTATGGTAACACTTCTTCGCCTATTACTAAGGGCAACTTTTTGACGATAGACGAGTCTCTAAATAGTTTAAATAAAATTTAAATTGGAAATTAAGTAAGAAATGCTTAACAGAATATGTAATTTTTAAAATATTTAAAAATAACAATTTTCTATAATAAACACATGTCTAAAGCAGTATAAGAATAAATATATTCATTGATATTAATTCAATAATGAAAACAAAAGGATTGAAAATAAATGATAACAAAAATTACAAAGCATGAGTATTAATAAATAGTCATTTTTCAACATATAATTTAAAATGTTAATGATTTTTACAACTATGTTAATAATATTATCGAATAATAATAATAATAATATATTATATTGAAAGCTTTTCGTATAACTTTTATCCACTTGTCAGGTAATTATTAGGGAATTTAGCAGTATTAACTAGGATTTTTGACGCGTATAAATCTAGTATTATATTTATGAACAACTGGTTCTGTCAAATTTTAGATTATTTAGAATATTATCATGTGTGACACGTGTTAAGTGATTGGAAATATTTCGTGAACATATTGGACACACGCTAAATGTAATATAACTGATTGAATATGAAGTATAGGTTCAAATATTACGTAACGTCTTAGTAGCGTTTTTAAACTCAAATGTATTTTCTTCCGGATGCGAAAACGATTGATTTTTCTAATTGCGTACGTTTTTCTTCTGTAAGCTTCTGTTGCACCACGTCGTACCCGGAGCGTTCAAAGCTGCTGATCTGATGATCGGAGACGAAATGACTGGCGTCAGCTTGGCGGGCACGCAGCTCCGGGCCAACCTGTACTCGCGGCAGCTGTACGACAACCGATGGAACGACATCGAAGTGAATATCTAAATAATATTTTACACTATAAAATTGCGTTACGAGTTTCGCACGGCCTGACCAGTATTACTTCTTGTCGCCGTACGCGTAGCACTGACCTACGACATTAGTTGTGACGTTATTGCTCACCGTAAGCACTTTCCCGACGTGTTCCAGGTGCTCACCGTCAACGGGGCTCGGGTGCTGGAGGACGTGGTTCCGGCATCGTCCGTGACCACGGACGATGGTTCCTCGGCGGACGACGTAGGCAGCGTCGGGTCTGCGCAACAGCGCAGGGATATTGTGCTATCATCTGGTGCCGAAGGAACCGGACTCGGAGGGACCGGAGAAAATCAACAAATCATGGCTATCGGGCACGCCGTCGATCGCGTACTGTTCCCGTTGCCCGTGGGAGACGTGTTGGCCACGATGAGGGCCGATCGCCAACGGCGTTACTCCGTGTTTCTGCGAGCCGTAGATGAGCACTGTTCGTCCGGCGTACGATCCATGCTCACCGGTAATTATGATTTAATAAAAAAAAAAAAATGCTTTTTAACAGCGACGACGCACCGGAATGACGATTGGATTATATGTCTTGTTTGAGACTAGTTTCCGCCGAAATAAATATTTTCTCGGTAACTTTCGAATCTAAACAAATATTATCGTCATCGGTCAGCTCGTGTTCACAAGAAAAAAAACATTATAATTCAAAGCTTTAGCCTTAGATGCAGCGCCGGTGCTACGATTTGGGAGGCCCTGTGCGGATTTAGAAAAACGAGGCACCTCCCCCAACAGCTAAAAAGTCGTAACCGTACTACTTTGATAATTGTTATTTGTATAACATTATTTTTGTTTTAAAAGCGCGCGTCAGTAATTGCTGAAGTAGCGGCGGTAGGATTTGCGCGTAACTCGGACCCGACATAAGTGTCAACACAGCCGTTTGCGACAGTAGAGGATATTCATAACCAATAAGTGTATTTTTATCGACGACGTTCAAATATTATTACTATTATAGGTACGGACTAAACTTATTGTTTAGTTTTCTATAGTTAAATTTTTAAAGTAAATTTTTCGGAGACATCGGGAAAAAGCACTCAAGCACGCGCGTTCCCGATCGCTCAAACGTTACAGCGATTGTTGGTCGCGTTCCCCGCCGGTAATAAGTCGGGGAAGGGTTCGATGCGTCCCGGAGACGAGCCCGGGGGCCCGGGTTCGTCGCCCGAGAAGCACGCCAAAAGCCTGCGCACAATGCTCATCACGCGCGTCACGTCCGTTACAGGCTCCCGGACGCTGACGGTGTTCGCGCCCATGGACGAAGCGTTCCGCGTGCGCCGCGGCTCGGGTAACCACACGGCCGCCGGCAGCGGGTCCATCGTCGACTGGCTGCTGCGAGAGGACGCGACCGGCCGGTTCAAGAAACGGGACCTTCGTCGGATTGCCGATCGGTTCGTGCTCAGCCATTTGGTGCTGGCCGGGCCGGGCGACCCGCCGATGTACACCGCCGGGCTACGGTTCTACCAGGTCAAGGACACCGCGTACCGGCTTCCCGTCGGCGGAAGCTCGGCGCCGGTGGAAGACGGCGACGGCGTGACGACGGACGACAGCAGCGACCGCGACGGCGACGACGGATTTTCCACGTTGCCGCCGGTTGACGGCGAAAAACCCCGTTACTATCAACTGACCGTCTACAAGGATTCAGGTAAGGCTGTTTTATTTGATTTTTGATTTTGATTACAAGTACACCGTTTTGTTTACCGTTCGTTAAAGTGTCTGTGTAGAAATTATTTAAAAAAAAAAAAAAAAAGAATATACAGGTGACAAATGATGTCAACAAATTCATATTTTTAAATTTCTCGCCATTAACGTTTTACTTAATATCTACATCACACTGTACATTGCATACAGTGGTCGAATCGGGAAGAATTAAGTAGGCCGTCCCGAAGATGAAAATCAAGGGGGAGTGAATAATAAGAAAAATGCCGGCTACAATTTTTTTACTCAATGTATGTAGTCGTATTTTTTTCTCTTTAATATATATATATATATATATATGTCAGTGTCGCACGTTATTAAAATTGACAGTTTAATTATATATATATATTTTTTATTGTATAATAAGTAGTTATATAAATTTTATTCGTGTAAAACTGTATTACGAAATATGTAATATTTGTTTTCCGTAAGTAAAATTAGGTCCTTCTAGAATATAATGAAACAAGTCCGACTTCCGACTGGTGTTTTCGTTGGGGGGATGAGACACCTCCCCAAGACCTGCTTTCGGGACGGGCCTAGAATTAAGTAGAGGAGCTCAGTCCAAGGATTTAAAAAACTACGTTCCACGTGCGTGATTATTTAACAAATACTCGTGGGGGCCCCCTCTGACAACCTTACATTTGTTTTGAATACCATTTTTTTAGTCACACAAACATTTAAATTCCAAATATTAATAACAAAACATACAATGAATAAAATATACACCAAATTACGTATAACTGTATAAACCAGACGTTACTATTAATGTTTTTCCTGAAATGATGACACCTACGCTTATCATAACCGCTGTATAATATTTTACTATGAAAATATATTTTCTCATGTACCTATATAGGTACTAAGCGTAAATAGAATTATATTTACCACACATTCGAATTAATTTTCAACCAATTGTAGTATGTGGCCGGGCGCAGGTCGACGCGTGTCTGCGTAGCATTGTTCCATCTATAACCGTGCTGCGTAGTCTACCGAACGTCATTTCGGTTAACATAGATTGGACACTGATAAATGATAACACTAGCGTAGCTCATCATGTTAATAAACGAATATCAAAAAATAGTTTTGATATTATGAATCGTAATATTCGTCATTAAAATTGATGTAAATTGAAATCCACATTTTAATAGTAATTATTTTGAACATTAGTTAAGGTGAACGTGGCGTCCCCCCATTCCAGGGAAAAAAAAATACTAGAGGAGCTCCGTCCTCCTACAACCGTCCCCCCTCAAATTCGAGCAGGTGTACACGGATCGGTGGCACAGGTACCACAAGACTTCTATGACTACATATTTAAAAATCTGCTTTCCGATCGATATATCCATCGATTTATTGGTCGTTTAGTCACAGGCCATATCATATCGGCTTCGAAGTACCCACCGAACCATACCGTATGCCAAACTTACCAAGTCGAGATCGCGAATCTAGAAAACACTGCACTTTGATCACCAACATACCGAAAGTGTTACGTTCGAATTCCATGTTGAACCCTCCGTTTGTAGTTCTGTGTCTCCAACGAATCTTGAGATTCGGCACATGAAACAAGTACATATTGACTTACCAATGCGGCCAATCTAACGTGGTTTTGTTTACAATTTTCAAACACCTCAGAATATAGTTTTGTTTATAAGAGGAAACATAGGTATTGAATATTTGAACGAGACCATTATAACTAGAGCTTGAATATGTATGTCAATTTATTCTTTTCACTGTGACTGCATATTTTTACGTATTACCCCGGTTTTGTATATTTTAGCTACTGAAATTAATTCTATTTTTATTTTTTTTTTTTTAATATATATTTTCAGTTGAATATTCACAAAGCTACACATTATTGATGAATAAACCATATTAGTATATTTGTTTTGAGATTTTTGCATATATTGGGGTTGAATAAATACGAATAGAGTTGTGTAAATACATATATATATATCTCCGAGCTCTAGTTATGACATATCCCTTAGTTAGGTACCTAATTATGCTACTCGTTTGGAAAATATTGAAATATATTCTTCTTGTAATATAGGTTATAAAATAGTTTAAGCTGTTGCGTATACAGTACTGAAGAATAATTATTGATTGTAGGTAGGATACGGCTGAACGGCGGTGCCGCCCAGGTGTTGGTTCGAAATGTACCAGCCACCAATGGCGTACTTCACGGATTGGACGCGCCACTCGTTTGATGACTAGAATCGTACTTAAAACAATCCATGGTTCGATTTGGATCCGTATCTACGTTGAAAGTCATCGTTTTTATTTATTAATTATTTTGATAGTTGTACTAATTTTTTTCGTTCTCGCTTTAATTCATGTACACATTACTACAGCAAAAATAACCTGCGTCTATTTACTATTTTTATGAGTATTTTTATTTTTTATTTTCCTTGCGTGTTTTTTTTTTCGATTTTTATGCATTAAGATAATAATACATAAGTATTATAATTACATTATTCTTTTGTTTTGTACTCAGAAACGGAATAATTACGACAGATACTACATAATACGTTGAAATACTATATTAAGAAGTTTATAATTTAATTTTTTTTTATTGTATTATTTTGTATGATACTCGGTTTATTTAACTATGAGTTTTTTTTTTTTTTGTTTTTATACTACATGCAAAATATGTATTAAACATTTATATTTTAAAATTTATATAAATATGTTATGTGTTTTACTTTAACCTAAATATAATTTACCTACATAATAGCTCTATGATCATATTATATTAAAACATGTAATAAAAACAAAGATTGATAGAATACTTATAAGTTATTATCAAGTAAGAACAAGCTGACTGCTTGGATTTGGTTAGGTTAGGCTAGAAGTATGTCTTTTTTAACAATAGTTGATAATATTTGTATTATATGAACGATCGAATATTTTTTTAAATAAAACGAAACGAATAAACTGTCTGTAGGATACGTATTTTATTCATGGACATTATGTTGAATTTCAAATTTAAAAAGCTGTAAAAAGAAAATAATTTACATTACATGTTTACGTGTACATGATTAAATAAATTCAATAAAATATATATTTAACTTTCGAGTAATTTGCGAACTATTAATATGTATCAAACATTTAAATATTATACATTGTATAAACTATTCACTATTTAATTTTTAGTTTTTTAGACTATTGTTCTACATTCTAGTTATGTTTAAATGTTTTATATTATTTCTTACCTTGTTTCACAGCTCGTTGATCGTAACTTGATTGATCAGTTACATTTTGTTTCAATTAAATTAATTTCAACCCGATTCGATTGTTTAGCATACAATAAAACTGTATCAACTAGTATTATCGACGACAAGAGAAAAAATTAAAAAGTTAGACGATATCTATTTATGTTCTAAATAAGCTCGTCATATGTACTAGTGATTAAGGAAATAATACACGGAGAATTAAAATATAAACATAATTTTAAGTCTATAATCTTTTTTATTCCACTTATGTGTACGTAGTACAACATTAATATAATTTTAAAATTAATATAATATATAAATATTATTACTAAATAAAATTACCAGCTGTAACCAAATATAAAATAATATTTCGATACTAATATGTAATTTTAAATGACACAAATACTTAAAATAAGGTAGCTATGCTACGGTTTGAATAAAATATAAATCGATAACTACAGTATACAATAAATTCTCTATGGGCTATGAACAAATATTTTAAACAATATCCATAATTTAATAGTACATTTTTTTTTTTTTATTGTTAATTTTCAGATTTGAGTGGAATGTTTTGAAAATACACCAATTTTAAATTTAAAAAATTATACTACTACTACTATTACTACTAATAATAATAAAAGTTACTATATATTAAGCAATACTATTAATAGAAGTAACTATAATTTATATGTATGTATGTATGTAATAATGTTTGTATACAATATTTCGTAAAATACAGAATGATGTATTGATTTTATTACACAGAATGAAAAATATCAGTACATATTCATTATACAATTGGAATCGATGGATAACTAACACAACTCTTGAATATAGACGAAGTAGTAGAATTGTAGATTATAGTTCTAGAATTTTTTAGTATTGTGATCGAATTTAAATTCTACCATAAACTTGTATATTGATATTAATATATTATTTAATATTGATATATATATATATATATATATATATGTAATAGTATATTAATATTATAATGATTTTTCGTTCTATGTATACCAACAATAATTTGGGAATAGGAATGGATTGATATTTGATATACTTATAAGATATATTAGCCTTAGTTATAAATAAAAACATATGTATTAGTTACAGAAATAGTAATTAAACCTAAATTAGTAATCAAACAAATAACTATGTATGAAAATGTAAAAAAAAAAATGTAATTAAAACTAAAGACTTTAACGCGCACAGCCACATGAAAAGCATAAAATGCTCATATGTACGTGGTCTTTTAATAAAATGTAAGTTTTTTCCATTCGGTTCCCCGAAATTGAAATTAGAATCAAAATTAAATTACCAATTTAATGGTATTAGATAACTTGCATTCGTGTGGATATCACCTATGTAACGATACTTCACGGTCCTAATGTTGCAATTACGACTTTCAGTACACGTATTTCAGTGCACGCTAACTACAACCAAGGAATAGTTATTGAACATTTTAATTTTTATAAACCACTTATTATAAATACTTTATGCTCAGGCACGAGACATATTGTCTGTGGGTAATATTGTAAATTAATCATTTAAACCATTCATCATTATATACTCGTATTTAGGTGGTATTAACGGTTGATAGTAAATAGTAATTATTGTTTAACAAAAATTTAAAAGTATAAAAATGTAATAATTTAATAAAGAGTTGTTTAGTTGAAAAGCATCAATTATGTTTTCTTAAATATTATTTGATATTTAAGTAATACAGTGCGAACTTCAGAATGTCAATATTAACCTGTGGGTAAGGTAATGATAAAAAGGTAAATATGGAGGATTACCGCCGTTTATTTAGCTGCGTTGATACCAGAGATTGTTAAAAGCACATTACAAATACTGAACAGTGGAATTCAATGAAACATAGACGTCTATACTGTTGGTGATAGAAAATCTAAAAAAAAAAAAAATTAAAAATTCTAAACCTTAAAAAGACTTTTATTAAAATTAACGGTCTAAAGACATACAGCGAACTCTATAACATAAATTAAATCAACTACCAAGCAACTAAGTTAATATTAAAAAGTCAAATAACTATGTTAAATATCAAGCACCATTGACAGTAGTGAAACCAAAGAATAAAAATTATATTATTAGACACCTATGAACGTTCAGTGCCTGATACCCCACAACTGGAGTTTAAACTACATCTGATGCACAATAAACTCCGAATGCGATCATTGATATAATTTTAATACTGTTTAAACTTCTATATGTATATATATTTACACATCCTATACTGTTATTAAATTAATAACTTAACCTATCGAGTGGGTGTGTACACATCAATACTACCATAAATACGCCAGTAAAAATATGCACAGCATCGAAACCTCAACTCGAATATTAAACAATCTCCTCTCGTCGTGTGAACCATCGTTAACTAAATGGTGACTTAACCTAGGACAGCGTTTAAAGTAACGGAACACAATAATATTAAAATTACAAATATAATTAAATGCACCTCCACTAATGTTTCGTGTCGAAAACTGTTAATGTCAACCGGTACTTAACTTAATTTTAGGTGATCATTATCCTTAGCCTTTGCAGGACTTTCTTAATAATTAATAATCAGAATTAAATAAAAAAAAAAAAAAAAAAAACTACGAAGAAATAATGAAAGAATAATAAACCTATAATTAACATTGTGAACGAAATGAAATGTATGAAAATCTAAACTACATATGATGCATAATAAACTCCGAATGCGATCATTATTATAATTTTAATATTATTTTAACCTATATATGTATATATTTTACACATCTTATACTATTATTAAATTAATAACTTAACTTATCGAGTGGGTGTGTACACATTAATACCACCATAAATACGGCAGTAAAAATATGCACAGCATCGAAACCTCAACTCGAATATTAAACAATCTCCTCTCGTCGTGTGAACCATCGTTAACCAATGGTGACTTAACCTAGAATAGCGTTTAAAGTAACGTAACACAATAATATTAAAATTACAAATACAATTAAATGCACCTCCACTAATGTTTCGTGTCGAAAACTGTTAGTGTCAACCGGTGCTTAACTTAATTTTAGGCGATTGTTATTCTTAGCCTCTGCAGGAATATTTCCTCTTTCTTAATAATTAATAATCACTAAAAAATAGATAAAAAAAAAAAACTACGAAGAAATAATGAAAGAATAATAAACCTATAATTAACATTGTGAACGAAATAAATGTATGAAAATGTAAACTACATCTAATGCACAATAAACTCCGAATGCGATCATTGTTATAATTTTAATATTATTTTAACCTATATATGTATATATATTTACACATCTTATACTATTATTAAATTAATAACTTAACTTATCGAGTGGGTGTGTACACATCAATACCACCATAAATACGGCAGTAAAAATATGCACAGCATCGAAACCTCAACTCGAATATTAAGCAATCTTCTCTCATCGTGTGAACCATCGTTAACCAATGGTGACTTAACCTAGGATAGCGTTTAAAGTAACGTAACACAATAATATTAAAATTACAAATACAATTAAATGCACCTCCACTAATGTTTCGTGTCGAAAACTGTTAGTGTCAACCGATGCTTAACTTAATTTTAGTAAATTGTTATTAGCGTCTGCAGGAATATTTCCTCTTTCTTAATAATTAATAATCACTCAAAAATAAATAAAAAAAAAAAAAAACTACGAAGAAATAATGAAAGATTAATAATTGAAATTAGAATTTATAATATACCTACATTTAAACATTTGAATTTTAAAATATACTGAATTTAATTCACTATTTCCAAATAAAATAAAAAAAAATGTTTTTTAGTTAAAATATATAATTTAAATGAATTTACCGTGAAATAAAAATAAAATTTAAAAATATTGCTTTCGATTCTCTATTTTATTTATATTATGTAGATTTTTTAAACAAATAAAATAGAAACAAATGTTACAATACTAACACAATAAAATTAAAATAATACCATATTCTAAAAAAAATCTAAGCTACATCTTAATTTTTTGTATTCAATATTATCCCTAACTTATAAAATTAAGGTACCCAAAATAAAAATTTAAAAAAAAGAAAAAAAATTATAAGAAATGCTTATAGCTTTCTATAATTTTTTAATATTCACATATTCTAACAGTCTGTTGTCTCTTTAGAAAAAAATCAAAAATCCAATCTAACCCGATAAACTAATATTTGAATAACCAAACTTTTACGCAGGAAAATAACTCACAAGCATATTCCAGATATTGTAACATGATTAGTATTATACAGTTGGTTAACGTAAAATTCTTAAGTTGGTTAAGCAAACATGAAGTATAGCATTATCGGAACTACTTTAATAAGTAATTATTACTTTACTTACTCAACTTATTTTACTTTACTACTTTATAGTTTCATATTCGACATTAAAAATAAGACCTTACACTAACTTATATTGATTTGTAAAATTAATTTTTATCATTGAATTAATATTATACAATAGGTTTAATGTTTTTTTTTTCAACAGCTATATAAAACATTTTAAATGATTAATTTTCGGTAGCATGATCATTTACATGGTTTATGGTGAAAATAAATAATAATTACAAAATGCTAGAAAAAAGCAATTCCTTACGAAAAAAAAACTAAATTTAACAGTGAAAATATAAATGTTTATGTTAAAATATATGTAGAATTTTTTAAGTAGAAAATGTATTAACGAATTTCTTAAGAGGTGATGGTTAACTTAACCATTGTCAGCGATAAATGAAATATAAATCAATATAAGTAGTAATATTATAGATAATTGGGTTTGAAAAATGAAAAAATAATAATATGAAAAATTAAAGAAAAACAATTAAAGAAGTGAACAAAAAGTTAGCGAAAAGAAATTTAAATATAATATATATTGTTGATATTTTAACTCTGGACAAACAAGTGGAAATTAAAATAGAAAAACGTAAAAGATAAATTGAATTTAGTATTTTTTTAGTACTTTTTTTCGTATGATCGGTATATTTGATAATTGAAATTTCAAACAAATATTTAATAATCGATACATTTTAATTATTCAAGTTACTTTAAAAACTATGAAAAACTATTTTTATTTGTTTACCTTCTCTATAACAGATAGCTGAGATTTCCTATTATATAATAACAATAACATACGAATACCTTAAACTATATTGTTTTACTATAATATTACTCCACACACATATTTAAAAATATAAATATTTATACTATACCTAAACTATTAGCTTAAGCGAAATAAGTTTTTATGGTTAAATATTTGTACATAGTAAGTGTGCCCAAAAGTAACATCAATAAAATCAATAAAAAAGTGATGAATTTAAATTATTTAATACAACACATTATGTCTAAGAAAAAAATTGAAACATTATTTTATTTGTTCATAGTAAATTTCTTAGCTCTCATTACTAAACTACTAACATTTGTTCATAGACAGTTGAATGAAGTGAATGAATTTTGCGCTTTCCTAGCCCTCAGTTACATTATCATCAGTTCGATACTTTCAGAAAATTACTATAATGTGATAATGAATTCAAAATAAATCGGTAACTATGTGATATTTTAGCGAACAGTTTTATGTAAATTGCTATGAAAATGTGTTGTTTATTAAAATAAATGAAAAATAAAATGTTCAGAACTGGTGTTTTCACAACCATTTCAATTAAGAAACGTAAAATAATGAAAAAAAAAAAAAAAAAAATAAAAAAATACCACCAACTGCACGCGTTCTGGTGGCTATATTTAATAACGACTAGTAGTCGCCATTAAAATCATGTTGTTGTATGACGCGTGCATGAGCGCATGTTGGTCGCCTTTTACGACCGGTCGCACTCAGCACCGTGATCGGTATTCTATCCACCCCCGGTCACAGGGCTAAGTCTAGATATTAGAGCGTGAATATTTACAAGTTATTTTATCCTATCAAAAACAAATGGCAAGTCAGGTGTGCATATCAGCGATAGTAATTTTCAGCAATAATACGTTAAGAATGGGTTCATAATTTATTTTCTAAAAATTTCTATGATTTGAAAAAAAAACAAATCAATATTCTTAACAAAAATACTAAAAGTCTTCAGTATTTATCTCTGGTTTGGTATTTAAATTCTATACCTTTTTTTTATAGACTAAATTATTTTTAGATGTGTGTGTGTGTGTGTGTGTGTTTGGGTGATTTGAATTAAGCGATAATCAGTACTATTCTAATATAAAATAAAATACAGTTCTAAATTTATATTTACAAGCATGAAATTAAGAGGAGAACAATTTTACCTTTTCGGTGCCTAGAATTTAATTATTACTAATTTTAATACCTCGTTTATTTGGGAAAACATTCTCTCATAAAAGTTGCGTTGTATTTTACCTAGTTGGTTAAAGTGGTCCTCCTTTCCCTACAACTTTTTTTAGCTCATTTTGGAAGCAAACTTCTCTGTTGTTGATTTCCGGTTGCCGTTAAGTCAGAATTTATTAACTTGGCAGCTATCTTTGAATAGGCGCACGCCCCATCCAAAAACTTGTCCATCGCTTTGTATCTTAATCGCATGTCATAAGCCGCTTGATTCAGCTGTTCAGTAATCACTCTATCCAGCATGTTTGACGATTGTGTGCTTTTTTGGTGGCCACGTTCTTTACCTGTACCGCAGCGGGTGGTTTTCGCTAACGCCAAATAGGTCGTACCCAACGCATAGGCAGGTACAGCAAACTGATGATCGACTGAATCGTCATTATCATCGTCACTGTCAGCTTTATAATCAATCAGAAGAGTCGGTGGCCAAAATAGACGAACGTGCAGTTCGGTGCGAAACACAATATTGAGCGGTGCCGGGCCATATGCACCAGAAGTTTTGATCCAGTGGCATTCACTTCGATCTACTCTGCGGGAGCATTCACGATCGTTGTCTGTTGCTGTTTTTTGACGTGATTTTTTTTCTGTCATTGGTATTTTAGTGGTGTCAGATGTAATATTGGTTGGAACGTTAACCGCATTAATTGCCAATAAGCTGCTGTTGCCGCAGCAGATAACTGTAGCATCATCATCATCATCGTCATCACCACAATCATCGTAATCTTCACCACTAGCACCGTACTCTTCCACTTTGTCCTCGTAGTGTCGTTCATACTCAAAACTGTCATTTCGATTGTAACTAGGTTTATTTTTGCAAGATACAATATTTTCTTTAAATTGATCATAACCATAGACGTATTTATCAACATAATCATCTTGGTTGTTATCATCGTAGGCGCTATCACCATATTGGCGTAAAAGTGTTTGGAAGTTGTTGCGAAAACGGTCAAGTTGTAACATCGGTGATGGTTTCGTGCACGATACCATAACATTTTTTTTTGTATAGCTTTGTTGCACCCACTCAGAGTACTGGATACACAATATATGAAGTGCTTGCAGCCCATAGTCGGCGGTTAATGATGCTCCGAGTCCGCTACTTATACCACTATTTGGAGATGACCACGGTGACGGTGATAATAACAGAGGTGAAGTAAACAAAGATGACGGTCTTGGGTTTTTATCTTCTTTGGTGTTTTTATCGTTTGCATTGGTGATACTGAAAGTCGCATCATAATCAGCATCATTATATAAGTGTTCGTAAAGCACAGCTAAAGCGGTTGCATCGGGCACTGTAGCGTTTGGTGGCAATTGCAGTAACAGATCAACATCATTATCTTCATTAAAATCATGTACTGCTTCAACACCACCGACTGGTGTATGCTTATCTCGACGGCCGAGAAATTCGGGCCGAAGTCGGGACTCAAATGCCACTGCCGTAGCGGTGTGCAGACGACGAAGTGTAGTCCATGCCTCCCGTAAATCTTGTATCTAAAACACAAGATTATAATAATTATAAACTATTTTATGTTGCTATAAATATTATATAAAAGTGAAATAAAAACAATGATAATTACTCTATCAGAGCACAGCGCCGACATTAGAGCCCGATAACCATACACGTCTCCTACCGCTTGTTTGGTATCCGCCGCCGTCCGAATCCACTTGTCCAAAGCGGTGGCCCTGTGTTGATTAAGTAAATCCAACCAATGACGCTTTTCGATTGCCCATTCTTCTTTTGGTGGTAATATATAACCAGAGTCAAAGTCAGAATTAGCTGTTAGTTGATAATCATCGTCATCGTCATCAGAGTCGGCATCGGAAAAATACCAGTTGCCAATACCAGCACACCGGTAATAAAATTTCCGACGTCGGTATTCGTATTCATCTTCCAAGCTCCACTCTAAGTGTTCATCCTTCGGATTTTTGGTATTATTACCAATCAGTAATAGACAGGGCGTCACAATCACCGTCATTGCGACTAGGTACTGCAGACACGCAAACCTAAACGACGACGCCGCACACACACAACATGGAGCAGGCAGGCAGCCGCCGCGTAGTTTTCCCAAGTTAATACTCAATATAACAATAAATAATAATATAAAAATAAATTCTAGCTACTGTACATAAAATAAAAAAAACTTTAACCGGTTACCGAGGACCACTTCATAAAACTGTTCAACTGGTGTTTCAAATCATTCTTGGATTGTTGGCCAATCATGAACTTAATCATAAAAAGGCGATTAATAGGATAAATACCTATAGACTCGTCAATCTTTAATTGACTAAATCAAATCAAAGAAAAACTGCATAGTCAACAGGTCACAATATTTAAAGGGCTGGCATCTACATTTACCTAAGAAAATACGAAAAAAATTGTTTAGGTGAAAAGAACCAAAATCAAAATCAAAGTTGTTGGATTCAATATAACCTCATAAATGGCGTTAACTTAGACGTTTTTGACGAAATGAGGATATAGATCTTAAGTAGTTCATAAAAAAACACTTTAACGACTTGATCGTGGACAGTAGTATTAGCCCTTGGCTAAAAAATATATCTGATAATAGATTAGATGTATTCAATGTAACATAAAAGAACACCTTAGTTTTTCTCAGTTACAAAAATAAATACCATATAAAAATTGTTTTATTCTAATAAACATCTACTTATACACTCATTTTCTCAGTTAATATTTTCAATAATGATCAAAAATAATTGTGATATTATGATAAAAATTTAGTTTAAAATATTTCAATGCACATCATATAATATATTCTCAAATATATTATTTTTTTCCCGTTAAAAAATAAATAGTAACTTCATTAAATAAAAATTAATAACATAATATAGAATCATAATTGTAAATATTTATATAAAAAAAAAAGTAATATTTACGTATCATATACTTTTATATGTATTGTGGACATACATATGACTCAAAAAAGAAGAAATGTTTAGTTTATTTAATTATTAGTAATTAAGTATAAAACTCCAATTGTATAAAAAAAATGGTTATTTTTATACTTCTGTTTATATCAGTCACAATTTTCAGTTTTATATTTACAATTTTTTTTATAAAAATGTAATAATTCAATTGTCAACTTATAATAATAATATAAAAAATCCTCAAAAAGATATAATAACTCAAAATATGAAATAAAAATGAAATGAAAATGAAATTCTTGTAAAAAATTCCTAGAAAAATTCTAAATATTTAATTTTAATATAATATAGTTTAATTTTACAAAGATTAATAAATATAATAAGAAAACGAGTGTAGTAATGCGAAAAAAAAACAAATCTCTACAATAACTATTAGTTCTAACACTATTAAGTCTAACATTCATTTATTACCTTTCAATCACGTCCAAACGGGCACGGCGTCCTTCTGGTCCTGGTTGACCCAAAAGTTGTAGTGGGCACGAACCCATAGAATTTTCTTCTTTTTCGCTTTCCGTGCAATTCCGATACGGTAGTACAGTGGATCGACCATCAGCATTACACAATGCTGCCGCCAACCGACCAGTACCCGCTACTGATGATGTTGTGCCTTCATCTTTGGGATCTCCAATTATCGCGAGATGTACAGCTCGCAGAGCAGTCGCTACTGGTGCACCGTCTTCATTATCATTACATAATAATTTTTGTCGTTTTTCTTGGTTGAATAGCTTTTTGTGGTCTTTATCGACATTTTGGTAGTCAATTTCTTCGTTATTATCAGTGACGCGAGAGACGATATTCGCATAGTCAACACCTTCCGCTGCACTGAAGTCCTGACTGCCGTTGCTATTGTTACTGCTTTCTAAGCTGCTACAATATTTCATGTCGTCTAAAAATATACTGTCTTTTTCAATCGAATCGATGCACTGTTCATTATTCATGTCATTGTTTTTCTTCCGACGATTGTCATTTAATGAACCGATGTTTTCATAATCACCAACCTGTTTGTAAACAACAGTGTCCGATCTACTAGAACTGTTCTCCATTTCTGAGACGATTGTATCAGTAGCGATACTAGTATGTTGTGTGTATGTAGCTGAGGTACTAGGTTTGTTGGCATTTATCACGTTAACAGTGTCACCTTGACCGACAATCGTTGTCTGATTCACTTGAGTACAATGGGGATATTTTTCCGTTGATAGACTATTGTTCTCCAATGATGATTGATGTTCCCCCGATGTCTGGGTACTTGATTTCTTACTACTTGGCCGTCGCGTTGCCATATTTTGTTGGATTATGCTAATGTCATTATTTGATTCACGTGTCACTGTAGCAGATGGAATATTACTGATAGAGTTCCCGGCACCAACCCAACGATTGACCATTTTTTTAACTATTCCGTCAATCTTTGATGACTGAATAGAGCTCCCAGAGGCACGTGTCTCAGTAGTAGTTCTATTCTGAACATTTAAACCAATTGATCCTGGATAATTATTCATTGTAGAGAATCCCTCCGATAATCCAATTTCTGATAGGTTTTTGTTAGTCAAGTGATTTACGGCTGATACTCGATTTTGTATAAATAAACTTCGCTGCCGTAGTTCACTTATTCGAGCTTCGATAAACCGTTCCCTTCGTCGATTTAGGCGTTCACTACGTCGTTCTTCCGGCGTTCCATCAAATTTACTTCGTATTGAGCTACTCCACCGGCTTCGCCACATCTCGAAATCTTCATCATCAGTTGGTTCATGTGTTACTTCCTCCGTATCTGAATCTTCGTCCGGGTTCATTCTTCCTTCACATATTAATCGTTCTATTTCCATGTCAGCCCATTCTTTTAATGTCTGTCTTTCCATCTCGCGATTGTTCTTGATACTATTTTTACGACGCTGCATAGATTCACCGATTTCCTCATAAAATCTTTCAATGTCCATAGTATTATCAAACTTCAGTTCTCTACCAGCTGCACCAATTGGATGATGTTTATAAGGTCGTGAATTCTTATCATCTTTATTTTGGAATTTTAATTGTTCATGATTTGGTTTATGGTCCATTTCGGAGTCCAATGATAATACGGGAGGAGGAGAATATAATAACGGAGAATCGAGGAGCGAAGAAAGATTTTGCGGAAAAGGTAATAATGTTGGTCGCTCCAGTTGATGACGATCGCTTTCATAGTTGTTGTTTGTAAGATATCTTGTACTACGAATTACCGAACGACCAGCGCATAAGGAGTAGTCTCTTTCAACCATAGCATTATAACTATCAATTCTACTTTGATGGTCTCTAGGCCTACTTCGATGACTTTCGGATCCAATCTGATGGCTTCCAAGCCTACCTTGATAGTCACTACCAGTATTCACATGAGCAAACGATGATCGAACGGTAACTGGATAGGGATCATCAAGCATATCGTCAAGAGCAGTTCCACAGTCATCTCCAACAGCAGACAAGGCAGCCGCTATCTCAGCATCTATATCTATACGTGATTCTTCACTTTTACCCACGTTAGAACAACACATACTACTCGTTGATTGTTCAAATAGATCCGGAGTATCATTTAATGTCAACGATTTATCTGGAATTCTAAACTTTCTTAATGGTGATGGTTCTTTATTTATTGGTGGTTGATTATTTAAAGAAACTGTAATTGAAGAGCGTTGTGCAAGACTCAATGAACCCGAGGATGTTGATATTATTAAATCAGAATCGGGTACTTGAGGTACTACACTTGATGAATTGCTAAAAGAAGATGATGTTGTAGAACGCAAGGTAGTGTTCGATATGCCTGAGGTTGATGAAGATTTAGAGGCCGGCGGATGAGGAGTTTTAAATGAGTGTGGAAGAGTTGTGGATAACATGGATTGTGCTGATAATGAAGATACTGAGGATAATGTATGTGTGGCTATTTTAGATGGGCCGGGAGATGATGTTAATGAACGTGGCAGAGTTGAGTTCGGTGATAGATTTGTAGAAGCTGATTCTGTATTTTCAATAGGGTTGCAGGCTTCTGCCGAAGTTACTGTTGCCGAAGTTACTGTCGCAGAAGGAGTTCTTCGACTTGACGATCGAAACGACGATGATAGTTGCCTCCAGTGTGAAGTATTTTGTGTTGATGATGAAGCATCCCACTGGTGAAACACATTCTGAAGTGACAAAAGAGTTTCTGCTGGAGAAAAAGTAGAATTACTTGTAGGAATCTTGTTTGAATCAGCTAATGAAGCAGGTATATGCTGTCGTATTTGTTTGTGATCTGTCACAGCTGGAACATAGGACTGGTTTTTGGTCTCATTCGTGGAACTGATATTTGTCAGTGGACATCGTCGGTTACATGGATAACGGATACGCACTTCAGTATGCGATAATTGGGGAAACAACGAATTAATACTAGCATCATTTCCTCCATAAGATAGTACGGCATTGTCATCAGCACCTCCGACATAATATCTGATCAGATGAGGTATGCTATCAAATCCTGGCTGATATTGTCGTCCATTGCTGCTGTTTATTGTTGAATTTGAAGAAATAGTGGTTGCCATAGTTGGTAAAGTATCCCCAAAAGTAAACTGCGATCGCTCGTATACCGTCCCAGGTTGTAAAACAATCTATATACAAAAAAAAAAAAAAAAAAAAATTAGTATAAAATACAATGTTTTAGATCGAATAAAAGTAAGGTTAGAGTTTCAAGTACTTCCATTTGAATATTTTTCCAAGTTCGAATGATGAATTTTATTAAATTTGAAAAATAGTATTTAAAGTATTTATATATTTTAATTACATTTTTTGTGTATGTATTGACTGCTAATTCAATGCCAGAAAATTATGATACTATAAGTAAGCGATTTTCAACCTGTGGTACGCGCAATATTAGTGGTAGTTGGAAATCTCGTAGATGGCACGTGAAGAAAGATTTTTATGTGGTTTCTATCGTATTATTATAAATACTATTCAGTTTAGTTGATATTGACGCACTCATTCATTCAATACAATATCAACCGTCTCATTACAATATTTATCAACATTCATAATCATTATAAATCATTCCAATAAATAATAATAAAAATAATAACATACTATTTAATTAATTGTACATTTAATGCTTTTATTATAATAATTAAGTCGTTTCATAATAAAAGGCTCTATGCATATAAAATAACAAATTTATTCTATTTTTTTGATTCGAGAAAAAAAAGGTTTTGGTTTATTGGTGAGTAATTAATTATAAACCATAATTGTCATGATCACATTTGTTATTAATATAAATAACTAATAAGGTCATTGAGTCAACGCATTAGAATTCAACACTATATATATTATTATTATAATTAGGGGTGGGCCGATCCTAGAACCGATATCGGCCGAACTTACCGAACTTGGTATCGGCCGATATTGGTGGTATCGGAAATATCGGTATCGGTTTATTTTCAAAATCGATATTTGAACCAATACCGCGAAAACTATTTGTGATTATAATATCGGGTATCGGTTTTATATCGGTTGTATATATCGGTATATCGGGTATCGGTAAAAAGTGGTATCGGCCCATCCCTAATTATAACACTCGGTTTAGAAACTATTACAGTTAACAAACATCAAAACTATAGTGATGAAATTCAGGTGAGTTACGCTGGCATCAGCAGGTTAAAATAACTACTCAAAACCGGTACCAAAATTATTATTATATTATAATTTGTTAGTTAAAAAAAAAGGAAATTGTATGTTTTATTATGTTATAATTTGTTTATTTTTGTTTAATTAAAAAAAGTATTAAACGATTTTCATTTATAAGTTATATTTTAATATTAAAGAATCTCGATTAAGAACGAAATAATAAGTGTTATATTATTAAAATTTATTTTTTTTGGGAGGGGGGGGCATAAATTATATACCCGGGAATGCATAATTTTTAAATACGGACCGGGTTGTAGTAGTAAAAAAGTAGTAAAATTGTTTGCAGTAATGCACTAAAATATACCAAAAATTTTACTAAAAAAATAACGTTTCATTATAATTCATTAAATTAGGTTTATTTTATGTCATTAACTTATTGTGTAATTTATATATTATATATCACTGACTCATTAGTTGCAATTTATAAGCATGTATATATGAAGTATAAAAAAATATGTACTTAAAAATGTTGTTGCATTGAACTGTAAGTAATTTTTTTAAATTTTCAAAATCCAATGTTCTACGGTTTGGAGTCAGTAAGTTTTTTTACTTAAAAAAACATCGTCCTACGTTGGTTGATGTAAGCGGAGCGTACTAAAGATAAACTAAATCGCGTACCGTCAAATTTTCAGGTAAACCTTCAGTTTTCTATCTCCAATCAATAAATCATTTATTATACTTATGGTTTCAAATATGGTATTTTTTTTTTTTTGTAATTTTAATGAACTTTTCAATATTTTTTGTGTTAAATATATTATTTTATCTATTCGCATTGTAAATACGTCGAATCCTATAATCGCAATATGACGAAATCGATACGATTTTAAAAATAAACTATCGTTTTGACTATACATATAATATCAATATAAAATTAGATACATAGACAACATACATCAATAAATACATCTTGTACTTCAGGCTTAAAACAATTTGAGAATTTTATTTCATAAAATTTTTATAACAGCGTTAAAAAAGAATTAAAAAAGTGAAATTATGTGAAAAAATTGAAAAAATAGTTAAAATTGTTTTTATAAATGAGTAAAGTCAAAAAAATTTCGAAAATTTCGAAAATTGCGAAAAACTACATTTTAAATGTTTAGATTTTCATTGATACCTACACAAAATGCATTTAAAACTTACTTAGCAATAAATTGAAGTAGTAGAAGAAAAGATGTAAATGAAACAACATCTGTGTTGATAACCCATTCGGCAATAAAACTATAAAATAAAATAGCATTTAATAATGCCCATTGGAAAAATAGATTTGAGTCATATTCTTATTGATTTTCACATCAACTGATTAAATAACTAAATTAAAGGAAATATAAAAAATACTTTTTGTTTTATATGTATACAAATATTACATATTATTAACTTGATAACATTTAAATTTTACTTGAAAATATGAATATATTCTGTGTCTGTAGGAATATTTAATAATTTTATATTTATATAGATAGGTTAGGTTAGGTATCTATTCGAAAGAATGAAAAAAGAAAATTGTAAACAAATATTTATAAATAATTATTTACCAACTTCTAATTTTTGTGCAAAGAATAAAAATAAAAAATCTAACTCAAAATCTGAAGTTGAAATTATTTAATATTTTTCAAGAATGAATTTCAAAAAAATATATACGTTTTATATGTGTTTATTATCAACCCTGGTCATGTTATTGTTTTTCAACTGAAAACTTGGTTAGAAAAAAAATCAACTAGTTACTAACTAAAATATGGTTTGCATTCCAGTTTTGTTATAAAAACTTCTATTCTTGAATATTTAGAAATCGTACCTATTCATCTAACATGTTCAACATGTGACACATTCGGATTAAAACGCTAATTGGTAATTAATTTTTATTTTTAAACGAATATGCATAGTTATGTTTATTCAATGGGATTTAATGTCTTCATTATTTGCAGTCCAGTTTAAGATTTAGACTAGTCAATCGAATCGGGACAGCTTTAAATACGCGCTATCAATAATTTGTAACACGATTACTTACCTCATTGATTACAAAATGTAGTATAGGTCTCCGTTGTTGCCTGCGTTGGCGTCGTTGAAGTTGTCGCCGAAGAAATTTATTTCGTTTTCGTTCATCGCCGATGTTACTCGCATGGTTTTGCGGTTTGTTCTTGTCGTAATTTTCGTTATCGTACTTGTCGACTCGCAGACATGAAACAACGTACCGACCTGGCGGTTGGACGTTAGTGCTGTCGCGGACTAAGAAGCAATAAAAATGCTTGCGATTGCGTTTCGGGTGCACAGGCCTTTTTGTCGGCAACACGTCCGCGCGGCGACGCTGCTGCAGGAGTAGTGCTGCGGCCTTTACGGTCGTGGTCGCCGTGAACGGATCGGGCACGTTACCGCTTTCGTCAACCAATCCGTCCAGAAAGTCGTCCAGTGGGAAATCGCCTTCGCTACTCGCGCTGCTCACGTCCTCGAGGCCGTCCGAGCCCACTTCGTCGCTGTCGTCTTGTCCTCCCGTCAGTGGTACCACCGCGTCGTTGGCAGCCGCGGAAGTAGCAGTCGCGGCCGCCGTGATACCGTGTTCTTCGGCAACGCATTGCCGTAACAATCGTTCGGCTTCGTTGCGATCCACACGATCACCGTGGTACCAAGCATGTGACCGCAAGTCCTCGGCTCCCAACTTCGACAGTTCCCATTCCAAAAGTTTCTTGTTCCTGTCGACTTCGGTGTGAGCGTACTCGTTGGTCGCAATAATCCCCGACGGAGGATACGACGGCGGTTGGACTTGTTGTTGCGACTGTTGCTGGGGCCGTGTCGGTAATAACGGTTGTGAAAACATTTTTGAAGATGAAGTTGACATTGTTGCCCTTCTGTTTTGTCTCGGCTTCAGTGATTTTCGACGACGTTGACGACGTGACGAATTATCGTCTTGGTCCTATTAAATTGAAAAAAAAAGAGAAATAACGATTAAATAATTATATTATTATTAATACAAAAGAAAACATACGAAATGTTTCCATTCTTTTGAGCGGTTTTAAAAATAATTGGTAAATAATAAATCGTTCACATTCAAAACGATCAAAGGTACATATATGAAAAATGTAAAATGATGTATATACTTTTTCTTATATACATGAACAAATATCAATATGTGTGCGTGTAATATATATAAATATCTAATAACATTAAAAATCTAATCATTTTACTACAATTAAATAAAATTGATTGAGTGTAAACAAAATTGTTCAATGAATGTCAAATCTATTGAATTATCTAATAACGATTATTGATTTTCAAATGTTTACTACTAATAATTGGTATGCGTACAATTAATGTAAATATTAAAAGCATGCTAAGCATTAAAACAAAAAATTTAAAAATATACGCATGAAGCAATTTTTTATAAAGGCAAAATACCATAGTGCAATGTATAGTACTATTATTATTATTTCGTTACGGTTTTTATCAACGTTGTCGTTGATTAAAGAAATGTCGACGACCGCGAAATGTATGGGCTCCAGTTGACGAATACAAGATTTAAACATTCTTAAATCTAGGTTAACCGCACATCGAAATAGTAAAATTGCTAAGGAGATTGCAAGCCATGATTTTCTTTTGCTTTCCATCACACGCGTAATATAGAGATTTAGACGTTTTCTATTTCCAACATACTGATTGATCTATTGATACGATAAGGATTTCGAAAACTGATTTTAATTCGTTACATACTTCTTTATATCGACTTTCCCATTTTTTTTTTTTTTGATTTTGTCACCCAAAATTTCACAAAATAGGATTAAACAAATTGGAAGTATAAAAATTAATAAAAATTAATTTTTAGGTATGTTAAGCAAAAAATTTAAAAAATGAGACAAATCAATAGGCAGCTTTATTATGACCAATTAAAAATAAAACGTATATAATAATGTGAAAACCAGCACAGTAATAAGTTATAGTAAAAAGAAAACAATTTTGCTTTTCATTCAACTCCAGTCATGACTAATCGCGTTTTATCGAAATAGAATGCTCGATTCCAACAGTCAAGACAAAACAATTTCTTTATCAGTCCAAAGTATACTGGTTTTCGTTGTACTACGGTTTTTATGCGTTTATCATTTATTGTACAATGTACAATTGATAGTACCTAATAATAAATTAATTGTAATAAATTACATTGTATATGAACAATATAATAAACTATAGTTAATTTACTCGGATTTTATAATTTTTATATACCAACTATTGTAATAAACGCCACCGCACATTAATCGAAAATCCTAGAGTACCCGAGTTAGAATTCTGTGAATATTTGAATCAGTAAAGTTTATTAAATAGCTAAATTAGAGTTCCAGCATTGTTGAGCGACAAAATCAGACGATTTCTCAAAGTGGCGATTTATGAGGTAATAGATCCCTTTTCTTGGCTTTTTTTTTAATATTAGGTATAAACTGTACTTGTTGTTACTTATAATTGTGTTGCCCTGTGGGCTATGAGTTACACAATAATAACAATAAAATTAAAATAGGACTATCTCGGCGAAACCGGATAGAATCCGCGAATAGTACGGAATGATTAAAACTCATTGCTGTACAAAATATACAGCGCATGAAAGTATTTGCGTGGGGCGATGAAGAAGTTACACGCTAATTTTAAAATAAATTTATAAATTTATTTCGTAGTTAACGAGTTGTATCCCGACGAAAAAATAGGATTACACAAGTAGTGTCTCGACGAAAAAAGAGGGATACATGATTGATATATGTATGTAACTAACAGTTGAGAAGCACTTCACTTCAAATTTAATTCAATGTTCTTTTCAACCCATCCCAATATTTTTTAATTTATTGAAGTCCTAAAAATGTTTAATGTGATATTTATTTTAAAATTAGAAGTACTGGAATATTATCAAAGACGGCGAAAGAGAAGAATTATTTATTAGTCAAAAATCAAATGGATATAAAAATGGAACGATTTCCAGATTTTAATTTATAAAAATAGTATAATTTAAATTTTTGCCGAATATTTATTTTTTTACATTTTTTTTCATATTAATTTTAAATATGACAATATGTCGTTTTATTTATATTTATTTTTCAAATTTTGTCCTAGTGTAAAATGTATATATATATATATATATATATATATATCTGTATGATAGTGTAATGGATTAAATGTCCTGGTTTAAAGTGTAATAGTTTTATTTTAATTTTTTTACAAAATGGATTATTTTAAAAATGCAATTGTTATATTTTATATTAGTTTTGTTTTTTGATGAAAATTGTATACTCGCAACATTGATTATTATTATTATTTACAAATACATAATTTTATTGATATTATTATTTTTTGCAAATACTTACAATTATTATTATTATTATATGCAGATACTACTATGATTATAAAAAAATAATATAACAACAAATTTTATTCTTGTGTAAAATAATTATTGAAATTCAAAGTGAAACTGATTTAAAAACTAATTCAATAAACAATACAATCATAAACTTTTTTAAAAAAAAAAAGCAGACAGTTATTAAGGAGGTACAAAAGGAAAATATTTAGAATTAATTAAAAAATAAAACTGTTGATAAATATATATATATATAAATAAATCTTTACACAACGAAAATCGGACTGAAATTCTACCACCACTAGTATAATGTATAATATTAGTTTAGTAAATATTTATAAACACACATATACATTTTCAACCATGCCTGTGCAAAACAGAAAATACTAAGCCTTTATAAAAGTGAAAAGGAAAATATGCTGTTATGTTCAAAATCGAATCGTAAAAAAGGTAAATGTGTGCAAAAGAATCGAACCTCTGTGGTTGACCATTGAGTTGGTGTGTTTAGGTCCGTTATTGTGCGAATGCGTGTATAACACGACTGTACACTCGTCGCCCGTAATTATTCATATTTTCTACAGGCTACCTGTAGTATGACGTAACCAATTACAGCAAACAATGTGACCACAGCTGTATACGATTACATACATTATTAAATAATATATAACAATATATTATTATTATTATTATTATATTACTATACAATTATTATATAATATATTATGTAATAATTTAAATATATAATACAAAATTATATACATATTTATGTGTTGTAATAACAATCATATAAAAAGATTTACCCAAACTGATTATACATCTTCCATTAACAATAATAATAACGCAACTGCAAATTGCGACTTTTTTCGTCAGCAAGTATCAATTTGATTGCATGTACAAATTAAAGTACAAATAGTAGTGATATGAAACTTTTAACAAGTACCTTATATTAGCAAATTATATAGTATAATAACATTCTATAGGTAGTTACTCAGTAATTTACAAAATATTTCAACGAAATTTCTGCTACTATATGAACTAATTTTTTTTTGATTTTTTTTTAATTTTTAATCGGTCATAATTTGATCAAATTTTAAATAAACGGTTTTCACATTCGCAAATGTAGTACAAGACTTCTCCTTAGTCGATGTTACACTAATACAAAATATTAAAAGTAAATTTGCAAATATAATTTTTAAAAAAATTAAAGGGTTATGGGGAGAAGCAATAACAGTTAATATTCCTTAGCTATTTAGTATTGCAATTTTATGGGTCAAAACTAAAAAAAACTAAGATATAAAGTACGAAATAATTCAAAAAAATTAATTCTGATAATACAATGCACTTTTTATAAGATCAGCGAAAAAAAAAATGTAATCTACTTTTCCCCGTAGTCCATTTATTTGAATGATCATGATTTTATAAACTTCATATTAGTATTAGAATTAATGTGTGTTTACGATCACATCCCAAATGTAAGCGCACATTTACTATACGGATTTTCTCACCGATTATAATATTGTATCCACGTTGTAGAGAGTCGGACTTGTCGAGATAAAATTATATTATATATTATTATTACTTTTATTACTATTATTATATGAACTGTTCATAATGCGACGGACATTCACTGTCAAAACCAGTTTATGTATAGAATGAAAATGAACGTACGGTACGTGGCACGGTGGGTTGTAGGTGGAGGGGGAATTATGTGAGACATTCACGTAGTTGCCGTATGGAAAATCACAAAATCACAAAATCGGCTTCACGGGGAAAAACGAAGTTATCTTGTAGAGTATTTAATTATGTTGATATTTTTTTTTTCTGACCAGAAGGGGAAAACTTTTAACAGGTCGCATTTGACTCCGATTTTACAGTCGTTGCCAGATAAATTGAGACGGCGGCGGCGGCGCTTTTCATTAAGTGTAGCCCAAACTAGTCGCTGATAATGTGGTGCAAAGGTCTTACAGTTAGCTACGACGCGCGCAGTTACCAGTTCGAACCCGGCTTAGTGCAAAAAATTGTCTGCAGAATTTTCTGTTCTCTCTCCCGTTCTGGTTGCCCTACACTGCTAAAAAACAACTAACCTAACCCGGTGTGTTTTGACCGCGCAAGCACTTCAGTCGTATCAACAATATTTGTTTATAATAATGCATATAGATGTTGTTATTATTTCATCATATTATTAATATTATGTGTTATTATTATATTAATTATATTATTTTACAATTTCTACTTTTTGTTCTTAAATAAAAAATTATTATCAGAATATATGATTTGAAATTAATATCGTAAAATATTTTTTGTAACAATAGTTGGTTTATTGATATATTTTCAGTAATAATATTGAAATACGGAGGACCACTGGTTTTCCGTTATCGCGCCGCCGCCGCCGTCTCAATTTATCTGGCAACGACTGTACTTTAGTTTATTCAAATTTACATAACGCGAGAAAACGTTTAAGATTACTAACATTTGTAACTATAATATATTTACAGCTCCTGTCATTTAAAAAATTGAATTAAATTTAATAAATAAATAATAAAAATAGTTTTACCACGTAAAAAGTCTTCCTAATTCGTATAAAAATGAAAATGAAAAAAATTGGAAAAATAAAAATTAAATTCGAAACCTAGTAACTCTATGGGGTATGAAGTGTTTATCCAGTGAGGTAGTAGTATGTATTCAGATCGCAATTGCGGACAAGGTCTGCAAACGCTATTAACTAGCGCGATATAGCGGCGCGTTCGTACGTTTGTATTAGTCGAGGTGTTGCTCGTACAGCTTGTTGCGGCTAGAGAGCGCTACATGTACGGACGGTCACCAAAAAAAGTCTAGTACGACTGCGCGCACCCGACTCGTGATGACGAAATGGTAAATAATAATTACGACACGGTGCTGTCATAGATAATTAATAATATAATCGATTAATTTTTTTTTTTTATAGTACTGAACCGATATACTATTTAAAAAAAAGAGCATATGCAAATTGCAACAGTCTGGGGGTAGGCGTTCTCCCCACTGAGTTGTTTCCTTCGAAGTTTCAAACACCGTTGTCGATTTAATGTAAGGACATTTCCCGTACTCGGTTATTCGGTATTTTCTGTGTTGAAACAATTGTACGGATAGCACGACGGCTGAACACATTTATTCGAATATATCACTTTCCCCCCCACGATAAACACACCGATGGCATCGATTCGGGCTGCAAATTATAATTAAAAAACCGATCTATATTCACGCAACCACTCGAATTTGAATATTCAAAAATGTTAACAGTTTTTTTTTAACATATTTATGTATGCGTATTTATATTGCATAAGTATATCATATATATAATTAATCTCATACAAGTATAGATGAAAATCAAATGTTTTAATTTGCAAGTTCAGTGTATCGAAGTACACCGATTTACAACCATAAATATACTCGATGTTGTATGCCTACAAGAAAAAAACATTTCATTTATACTTATGGATATAATATACATGCCCTCCTCCCCTTAAGCTTAACTGGAGTCATGATAATTACGCGAGTGTACTAACGAAAATAGACATTTTTAGATTTAATTACAAAGTATAGGTAAATTCGAAAATGCACTAAAAGAATCAAAAACCTATTACACCTTCACTTTACTTGAATTTAAAAATTATATAACTAGTTTATTCAATCGATTGGATTTTTATAGAATTAGTTGATTGGAACACATTCATTAAACTTGGTCTTAAAAAATGCAATAAATAATAAAGACAATAATCATATTGCTGTTATAAAAATTGTACAAGATTGCGGAAAATGTGGAGAATTAAAGCGATTTCTGCTTATATAACCATAATACCGAAAGTAAAGGTCTTTAATGGTACATTAAAAACATTGGCGATCAATAGCTTCTTCAGAGAAAGAACTTCATTACCGTCCTCCTTCATCTCACTATCGCGCAGCTTCATTATTGTCAATATTTTATTTTAATTTGCAGTTGTCATGGTAACGGTCACGTGAGTGCGTATGGAATCTCCGATGATTAAATATTTTCTAACAATGGAATGCAATACTCGTCAACAAGTTTGGTGGCTCAGAGACAGTTAAGACAACTGAAGTCGTACGAAGGCATTGAAACTATACACATTTTAGTCGAAATTATAAATTCAAATACATACGAGCGTTTCGAATTACCCACCATGTTAGAAACATGCCCTTAATAGTAACTAAAAACATATCTGCATATATTATAATATAATTAAATATTTTATTCTACCGTAATTCCATATAAGTGTCAACGAAAAAATGAAATATACTAACATGCGAATATAGGCAATGTTATATACATATATAACATTTTCAACATTTAATATAAATTACCAAAACTGTCTCGCTTACATCAATAGTAAGAACACATGGATGGCGTTGGTATTAAGATCTACTAAGATATCAATTATATATTTAAATGTTGTATGTATTTATGTATATATTGAATTAATTTGAAAACATTTATATTTAAAAAAATAGAAATATACATTTGCTGATAGAGGAATTTATATAGACGTGTGTAACTATTTCTCCCCTCTCCCAGTAACTACAAGTTTCATTGACCTTATGATTTCACGACAAAGTGTGAGGTCGTCACACACATGTGTATTTATTATGTAACATTGCTATGAAGTGCACATCCGCCATGTATTTACCATATAAACTACAATTACTGTAGATCATTGCAGTTGTTTTTTTACATTACTCTCTTATTACTCCTCTATCTGTCACAACTATATACTACAAGTCTAGTTTATTAAATAATATTTACTTTTAGTTTTATTTGACACATTACGTCAATAACTGTGCATTGAATTCACTTTTACAGTGACTTCAGATTTTAGCATAACCAAATAAATTTATAAATGAAATAACTAAACTGTAATAGCGTCGAAAAGGTTACGTTAATGTTGATGTATAAATCGTTGTTGTTGGCCAACATTGTCAACCATAAGTTTTCTATTCATATAATATATATAGAAATTGTAGTGAAATATTCTTTGAATTTTAAAATAAAATCGAATACAAAAGAAGTGTAACGGTTTTTTATAATAACCAGTATTGGTTTTAATTTAAAGTAATCTGTACTTAACAAATAGATTACAATCGATAACCTTAAAACAATATTATTTTAATTTTTGAGATTAAACATTTACGTATAAATATGATTTCGTCATACTATTTCGGTGCAGGCAAGTTTGAAAACCGTTACTTCAATGGTTTAGTTAAAGAACTACATTGTTTTAATTAGATTCGATAACGACAGTGGTTACGCGAACAGAACTACTGAATACTTTGTAGATAATACTGTAGCGAGAGAACGTCGAGGAAAGAAGAAAAAAGAGATTCCTTTTAAATGCAGTTATCGTAAAACAAATAATTTGAAACGATTTCGTCGGCGAGTTGTTTGTTTCTCGTCAACACGAAACGTTGTAGGGCGGGGGGTTATCTGAGGAACGGATCGAACACGAGCGCAAACATCCTGAGGTTACCAGATAAGCGGTCGCGGTCGGCAGCAACACCACCACCACACTTTCTATACTCTCTCTGTCGAACCCGGTTCTCCATGCCGCCAATGGCCATTCGTAGGCTTCCCGGTTAACCTT